CCCACAGTGTCACCTCTGAGGAATGAGAACTTTGGTCATTATTTCTGACAGAGGCTTACTTTTGTTTACTTAATTTGTCTATCTGATACAAAATTTATACATCAGAAACTCTTTACATCACATTTATCTGAGGTCCCATCAACACAGGAACACTTTGTGTAACAATTGTTTCCTCCTAAATATGGCACTGTGTCTTAAAATGCTTTCACCTACACAGGAAAAAAATACTGTAGTTACCATGCCAGGCCTGTATGTGGTGCTGTAATGCTGCCACAAAACACACAAAATATGTAAAAAAAAAAAAAAGGACAAGGAACAGATGCTAATCTGGAAACATGAGACAGAAAAGGACCCTGCATATATTTCCTTCATAGAAATAGCATTTTAACACGTCCTCTAAACAATGAAAGGTAATACGTGTGCATCTGACTAAATGTAAAATAAATAATACAGAAATACTATTTATAGTAAAAAGTAAGGCTTGTGGAGAGTAGCTGCCATCTTGAATTCTGAACTCTCCCACTTTCCAAGAAGGAATTGCCTATATGCCACAATCATTAATAACGTATTTCCAGTTAAATTCTTGCCACGCACATCCCTTCCACTTCCTGCCTACTGCCTTTGTTTTTAGCGTAAGCTCCTAGAACTAGTCTGTGAAAAATTCACAAAAGCTAGAGCATCTGTATAAAACGCGAGTTCTGTTGTGTGCCGTTGTGTCCACTAACCAGCAGGTATAATAGAGTAGTTAGTTTTTATCCATTTTCCTCTAGAGGAGGAAAGGTGACAGCTGTAGATCATAGCTATACAGGGAGAACAGCTATAAGCTCACGCTTTGCGTTTGTAATCAGCATTTCTAACCTGAGGATATTCAAGAGCCAGCGTCAAAAATGAGAAGACAGAGGTTACAAAAGGGAGATATACCCCTTTACTGCTAAGACGAGAGAGGAAAAACCACCTCCAGATGACAGCTAGGAGGAAGCTAACACAGCAGCCGGTACAAAGGTAGGTGTGCGTGCGTTTGTGTTATCCAGAGTATGAAATGGTTTTAGGCAACTTTGTCATTAGTTTTATGCAAAAGTAAAAACTTGTTAGAGTGTATATTACAGCGCAAACAATTTAAAAGCAGTTTAAAGCCTAGACTCTGCTCTTTCCAACAATATAAGTGTCACATCTCTATGTGAAAAATTCACAGAACAAGCAGGTAAGGAATAACGAAAAAGGCTAACTTCTGGAACCATAAACACGAACGTTTTTCCTTTGTTTTTATGGCTTTAATCCACTTTGGAGTGATTTTTTTCCCCACTTGATTAGACCTGTACGTCTCCTGTGTTGATTTTGGTACATGTAATATGCTAATTCTGTACTGTGGAGATCATTAAGAGTCGGTGTCGGGTGAAAAAAATCTTTCGCTAACACTGTGTTGACCGCGAACTGGAAATGATCGGAGTGGCACCAAATGCTGGACCGGATGTCCGTGGCATATAGGCTATTCACACTGGAGATAGTGTTTTAATTTGTAGGAGGAAATTCCCACTTCCCAATACTGTTACTGACACATGCTCTGACCACCTTGGTGCAGTGAGAAAATATACAGAGGCAGGGGTGGGACTGAAACTCCCTGCCTCTGTACCTCAGAAATAGTTGGTGACAGAAATGGTAAAGCTGGCTTCTGAAAAGGTAGGCTGGTGTTGCGCTGATTGACAACAAGGACAAACTAGATGCAGGTTTTTTTTTTAATCAAAACACCAGATTTTATATAGTGTATGCCTAATAAAGTGTATGGAGGAGGAAATAAATACAAACTTTATCGGCACAAAGACTGGTTAATTAAAAGTATGCAGCAGCGCAGGTACAACCGTAACAAGAGTCAGGTTACTTTGAAACTTTAAACCTTAAAAAAACATACTTGACCATATTAGATCTCTGCAACTTATGGTCATTTTACACTAGTGCCTCTACAGGATGGTTCAGCTTGGCCGAACTCTGTTCTGTACGATTCGAGTGGTTTTCCATTACACTTCAGTAACAGCTCCAGTGGGTGGGTTCATCGTAATGTTGGGTGGTCCCAGAGCCTGAAAATTGATGCCACACGCCTTATCAGCTGGTGGTGGTTATGATCCATGAAGCTATTTGCCACCATGAAACATATATATTTTTTTCTTTGTTTCTTTTATAATATAGTGTGGGCTGGGTCAGGGACTACAGGTGGAAACTAGCACCCAGAGCTATAACCTGATACAGTGCATCTTTCATGGCTAATGCATACTGTGTATTGTCCCTGTTTTTAAAAATAAAGGTAACAAAAAATAGTAGAAGAAGAAGACCCAGAAAAGATAGGCAACATAACAATGGAGGACATGGTAGTGTTGTTATTGCAAATGGTGGATTGGGTTGTTGTGAGAGTAGCTCAACCAGTGACTCCACCACCCAACTAATCAGTGACAGTGTTTTCAGGCCAGCATGGAACCATAGAAAAAGAAGTTTCTGAAAAAGGGACTGAAATCCTTGTTAATGGAAAAGCCTTGGAACCATGGAGAGTCAAGTTGAACCGTGTTATAGAGGTGCTAGTGGAAAGGGGTCCTTACATTAGGAAAACAAAAATATTTTAACACATATTCTGTAGGTTGCTTGTATTTGTAGGCAGATGATTTTAAAAAAATACAGTTTTAAACATGAACTTGATGTAATACAACCAGATTTCATGTCACCTATAGCATTTGTTATAATTTGTCTTGAACTAATTTGTTAGCTGTTTGATGTTACAGATAGCTGGGTTTGTACTATATTTTGTTTTTGTTTGTGCTCTTTAGGTTTGTATTTAGGTGATGCTGTCTCGAGTAAGTAATTAGGTCTGATGTGGAGCAACAGTAGCTTCATGTTCTCTGTGTTCCAAAATGTTTCAGTATGAATACATGTACCATTAAACTCCTATTATTTTTATGTACAAATAGAATTTCCACAGACTCTGTACAGATCTTGCACACCACCTGGTATTCCCCTCAGGGCGGCAAGGACTGCAGTTTTAAAAGATACTTGTTTTCAGCCTAATTTATTCTCAATTTTTTTTCCCACAGCACATTGCTCTTCTCCTGCGTTCACATTAACTACACAGCACAGTCTGATGGGCTCGCTCTAAGGGATGTTCTGCTGGGTGCAGCTGAAAATGAGAGCTACTAGTAAAACTAATGAAGCTTACATCAACTTTAATTTACAGCACGTCTCACCGGGACCTCACTGAAGATGCGCACTGGCTGATTCCACCAATCATTGGGCATAAACCGCTTGAAGAGTGCTTTTAAATCATGGAAAAATATGTAGAACCAGAGCTCCGGACTCACCTGTCGACGTCACCTGGCAGCTCTTTGCTTCTTCTCTGGATGGCGTCCTGAGAAGAAGCTCCGTCTGAGGCTCGCCCTGGATTCCTGGCGTACATATGGAGGCCGCCGTCTGTTAGGTATCTGTGAGAGGAGAAATAATTAGAAAAGGAAACCAACCAATCACGAAAACAAAGAACAGCAACATCTGAGTTATTTAATTCAACATTTTTTAATTAACTGAGCAGAACAGATTGTTGTAAGTTGATTTGGATGACAGACATATAATCTAATTAGGGATGGTTGCTCAGACTGAACTCTGAAAGCAAGAAGCATGTGAGGGCATGAGCAAAAAGGAGGATGGAAGGCCCGTCGTAATATTACCAGAGGGAAGTTGCAAAATTATGAGCAATAAGTTGCTTTAATGAGAAAAAAGGGACAACAGAGTTAAAGGGGCAATATCATGTAAAATAAACTTTTTTGAGTTTTATGTCATGTTATAATATTATACTCCCATGAAATACATGCCAAAAACCTTGCTTTGACTCATTCATGCATGTTTGAGAAATCCTGCAACGCTTTTACATTCACAGTTTCCCAAAAAGTTTGATCTCGGTGACGTACAGTGGGGAAAATAAGTATTTAGTCAGTCACCAATTGTGCAAGTTCTCCCACTTAAAAAGATGAGAGAGGCCTGTAATTGACATCATAGGTAGAC